TGTGTTGCATGTGAAAGGCAGCAGGAACAAAGGCGGCCCAGCAGGGGCGCTGACGGCCACATACGTGTGAATTGGTGCCGTGATTGTTGCTAATTGATGACCAGAGTCAGCGTGGGTTCATTACTGAGGTGGTAATGACCTCCGAACAGTGGAGGGCAGCAGCAGTCACTCAGTGCTGATGGACAAACAATGAAGGAATCCCATCAGAGTCAACGACTTCGAAAAAAACTTACGTCCAAACTTGTCCCGTTCCTGTTGTTTCACCTCCCAGGCTGAGTCAAAAAGTCCTCAGACAGAGCGACCATCAGGCCTGGACTAAAACCAGTTCAGACTGGTCTCATCAGTGTTGACCTGTGACCTTTGGTTTGAGCCGGGGTTTTATTGAACCCTGAAAAAAAAAGAATCATTTCATTTTTCATTTGGACTGAAGATCATCAACAGGTTCTGATCTAGAACCACAACCGAGGTTTGTTTTTTTAAATTATTTTCCTGAAAGAAAAGATCATGATTAAACTCAGATTAAACTCAGATTAAACTCAGATTAAACTCAGATTAAACTCAGGTTCTTCATCTCTGATAAATCCATGACAGTTTTTACTCTGGTGGAGTTCTTTTTTCTGTTCTGTCAACGTCCAAAAACAGAGAGAAATTAACGACGATGTTCTATATTAACGGTGAGGTTGTAAAGAGAGAAATTCCAGACCTTTGATTGTGTTTTTTTTTCCGAGGTGTGTGTGTGTGTGTGTGTGTTTAAAGCAAATCTGGCTTGTTTTGAAAATGTAAAACAGGCCTGAGGGGGCAAATGGGAACTGAGCCACACCCCAGACTGGAGCGGCTCTAACTAACTCTCCACAACAACAAAAAAGTGTAAAAGGAGAGGCCTTTTCACACCAGCCCATCTGTATGCAGAAGAAAACACACTCTCTCTCTCTCACACACACACACACACACACACAGAGGCGGAGGCCGCGGGGGGAAAGTCTGCCTGCCTGTTCCTGTTTGGTTGTAAAGACGCAGCGATGAAGACATTTTCCATGTCGTGTTCCTCCTCTCTGTGTGTGTGTGTGTGTGTTGGTGGAATAAGGAGGCCCTTGTCTGTCTGTCGGTCTGTCTTTCGGTCCGTCCGTCTGTTAGCGCCTCATGGTTGGTCACGTGGCGTCCCTCTTTGTCCCCCCCGTCGGAGCAGGAGGACAGTTCTTCTGAGACAAGAGGAGGATGACACGCTCCCACAGCCAGAGGATTTGGAACCAGGGAGAAAAGGAGATGAGAAGAGCTGAGGTCAGGGGAGGGGGGGGGGGGGGGGGGGGGGGGGGGTCAGCAGAGGGGGATGGAGCGAGAGAGAAAGAGTGAGGCAGAGAGAGAGAGAGGGTGAGGGAGAGAGAGGGTGAGGGAGAGTGAATGGGCCCTTTGTCATCAAAAGACTTGTTTATTTTCTTGGCGCTTGAACTCCTCAGGAGCCACGTTAGCAAGTGTCTCACTCTCATCCTCCCCCTCCTCACCCTCCTCACCTCACCCGGCCGACGTCCCAGAACCCGACTGGGGAACCACAGAACCGATGCAGCACCAAAACAAGTTTTTAGCAAACTTACAAAAAAATACAAAAAACTGTTGAATGAGATTTCAAAATCT